GCTCATGTGTAGAAGACAGCCATGGTCGTGTTCATCACACCAAGTAGAACTCACAAAAGGAAGCCAGATTTTGCAGGATGCTTCTGTTTGTGAACTGAACTTTAAACCAAATTGTCCACAGACAGAAGTATTCATTAACAGTAGCACTGCTGCTCTTACAAGCAGGTAAAATGCTGGCACATTTATACTAATACTTGCCACATTAAACTTTTGGGGGATATTTTTTTTTTGATGGGTGTTTTTGAAACAGTCTTGCTATGTAGTCCAGGCTGGCCTTGAACTTGGAGTGAGTCGCCTGCCTCAGCTTCCCAAGTGCTGGAGTCACCACCACACTCGGCCTTATTAAATAAAATTTTAAGGTAAAATATTTCATTAGAAATAAAGTATACTAGACAATGGCAAAAGGAACAGTTAACCAAAACATAATTCTGGACTTACATATAGTTAATAATATATACCCCAAATATACAAAGCAAAAATTAGTAAAATTTTGAAGAAACTGGGTAAACACACCACCATCACAAAAGTTTTTATAGGATGCTCTTAATAATTGCTCGGTCAAGTAGATTAAAATTCAGTATGAGTGGAAAAGATTTAACAACACAGTAAGTCAAATCTACTGGAAATATGTAGATATTTACATCTGACTGGTACAGAATATAGGCCACAAAACAAATCTTAATAAACTCAAATAAATGGATAACACACAGACAACATTGATTGATCACAAAACAATAAAATACTCACCTTTCCTATTTAGAAAATAAAAGTCAATTGGAAGAGAAGCTATACTTTGAATAATCTGGTCACACACATTTCATGAGCTAGAGCAGCATTTTGAAGGAAGCAGTTAGTAGGCTTCCAGGTCTTGCTTTACATAGCATTCTAGGTTGTCATAGAAGGCTGGACTTGCCAGGCTGGCCTGTAGACCCAGGGCACAGCAGCCCATACCTGTAACCCCAGCGCTGGGGAGGCTGAGACAGGAGTACTGTCATGAGTTCAAGGCTAATCTGAGCTACACAGTGAGTGCAAGGCCAGCCTGAACTATATGGTGAGACCCGGGCTCCAAAACAAACACTGAACTGGGACCAGGTCTTTGGCCCTTACACTAGAAGACATTTTTTGTTGTTGTTGTTTTGGTTAGGCTTTGTACTTTTGATTTTGGAAGTTAGACTTTATTATTTACATCAGTTTTAGGTTTGCAGCACATTGAACAGAAGGTAGAGTCCCCACATCCGCCATCTTTATGTATGTACAGCCTTCTTCAATGTCATTATCTCCCACAGACTGGTACCTTTGTTACACTGAACCTACTGGTACTTCACTGTCACTCCAAATCCATAGTTTTGTCAGGTTCCATTACTGATGTGGCACATGCCATCGGTTGACAGATGTGCAGTAACATGTATCCACCACTAATAGTCTCATAGATCTTAGAGTCTCACTGTTTAAAGTAATTCTTAGCTCCACCTGCTCACTCCTCCCTGTCCACACCCTTGACAAACACAGATCATTTTACTGTCCTCATTTACCTTCAAATCAGTACATTTCTACTTTAAAAACTACAAAAAGAAGTGCAAAGTAAATCCAAAGGAAGTAGAAAGAAGGGAGCAGAAAAGGTAATAAAGGGCTGGTGAAATAGTTCAGCAGATTAAAGCACCTGCAAGCAGGCTTGGGGGCCTGCCCTGCCGGCCCTGCCCCCACCCCCCTGCGCTGAGACAGCAATTGAGACTGGGCGTGGTGGTTTGTGTCTGTAATCCCAGCTCTTGGGAGGCTGTAAACAGGTGGATCACTATGAGTCTGTTGTAGTGAGACCCTGAACACCCTGTAGACCCTTCCTTAAAATACAGGAAAAAATAAAAGGCAATAAAGATCAGTGAAAGCAAAAACTAGTTGTTTGAAAGATCATCAAAATGAGAAACCTTTAAGCTAGACTGAGAAAAGAAGAGTGGGAGAAGGAAAAATGACTCAGTTACTAGAATCAGAAATGAAAGGGGGCTGGGAGTGGTTGCTCATGCCTATATTCCCAGAACTCAGGAGCCTGAGGTAGGAGGATTGCTGCAAGCTTGAGGCCAGGTTTTGCTACAAAATGAGTTCAAGGCCTGTCTGACCTACTTAGCAAAACCCTGTCCAAAAGAAAAAAAGAAATAAAAGAGGATTTTACAAGCCAATTTTACAGATATTCAAAGCATTAAGAAGGAATATTGTAAGTAATTGAATGCTAGTAAATTAAATTATTTAGATGAAGACAAAATTCCTAAGCTGATTCAATAAGAAATGAAAAAACAAGAAAGGAAAAAAAAAGCAAAAAACTGTGAGACCAAGGCTGTAACCAACAAGAGAGCAACTTTGAAAAAAAACTTTCTATGTCCATATTCAGATGTTTTTACTGTTAAATTCTACTAAATGGCTGATGAAGAACTTAGAATACTTAAACATTCCTTTAAAAAAGAAGAGGAAGAGGAAGTGGAGGGAGGAGAAGAGGAGGGAGCACTTTCTAACTCATTCCATGAGACCAGTATTATTCCAATATCCAAACTAATCAAAGACTTCACAAGAAAATTACAGACTAATATCCCTTCTGAATATAAATGCAAAACTCCTCCAATAAGCTTCTAACAAACAAAACCCCAGCAACATGAAGGGATTCTCTACCATGACTAAGTGAGGCTTATCCAGGAATGAAAGTTCAGTTCTACATAGAAAAGTCATCAATCATTGTCAGACACTATCATGGTTTGGGATTTTTTACAAGGGGAATACAGTACAGGACACATTTTATAGTCACTCAAATAATCACATACAAAGAGTGCAAGAAATCTGAGCACACACTAAAGATTAAAGAATGCGGCTGAGGACCTGTATTCTAATAATCTTCAGGAGTCCAGCTGAAAACCTAGAGCCCATAACAAGGCCTCTCACGAGTCCAGCTGGAGGCCAGGAGCCCACAACAATGTCTCACGCAGGCCCGCTGCATGGATCTGCACTGGAAAGGCCTAAAGGTCAGTGATGGAAGCTAGAAAATCTATGCCAGTGGGATGAAGGATCTGTGTTAGCAGGCTGAGGGATCTGCACTGAAGCCAGGAAGAAATGCTCAAAGTAAGAACCAGAGCTACCCTGAAAAGTACCACAGCCATCCTCAGCAACAGTGAAGTGCTGAGCTCCTCCAGCAATGAAGAAAGCTGAATTGCCATCAGAAAAACCATGACAATAAGCCTCTCCAGGAGACTGAGTCGTGCACCATCTTCCCCTCCAGAGCCAGGAAGTGATGCTCAAAATGAGGACCAGAGCTCCCCTAAAATGAACCATAGCCCTTCCAGCAACAAGTTCCCTAGCTCTTCCTCCAACAGGAACAGCCAAGTTCATCAGGAAAGCCAGCATGACAAGGTTCTCCAGCAGAATAGCCCAAAGGAGAGCTGCTCCCAACAGCTGCAGCAGCTTCTCCAAACAGCTTCCCTAACAACCTCCCATCAGCTTCTCCAGTTTTGCCTCTTACGCTGCTGGCAACACTCCTGAGGTATGCCTCCCACACCCAGCACAATGCTAGTTCAATTCAGCTGGGTGTAACAAGTTGACCACCAGTTAGCAATCCACTATACACAATATTAACAAAGGACGACAGGGGGCTTGTGGGTTAACTCAATTGATTAAGCACATGTTTGGGCAAACCCAGTCAGGTGCATTGGACCACGGTTCAATCCCCAACTCCACATGCCTTACTAGACCGGCCCTTAAGGCAGCCTGACCCAGCACCCCCCCCCAAAAAAAAAAGTCTTTGGGGGCTTGCCAGTTAGTTCAGTTGTTTGGGATCCTGCCTAATAGCGCAGTTGTTTAAAGGGTTGCTTGGGCAAATGCAGTCAGGCACAGGGGACTGCAGTTCGATCCCCAGCCCCAGACACTGCATTACACCTGCCCTTAACACAGCCAGAACTAACCAAAAAAAAAAAAAAAAAGACAACAGTCATATAGTCATCTCAAGAGACATAGATACATTTTTCTTTTCATGATAAAGACACTCTTTAAATTTGATTGTTTTTTTAAAAAAAACCCACAGGCAATATCACACTTGTGAATGAAAGACGGCTTCCTCCTAAGGTCAGGGACAAACCAGGGTGGTCCCACTCACCATACTTGTTCAATGTAGTGTTGAAAGTTCTAGGCCAGACAAGAAAGCAAGAGAAAGAGAAGTTATCCAGATTGGAAAGAATGTAAAAATGCCTCTATTTGCAAATGGCTTGATTTTTGCATATAGAAAATTCTAAGCAATCCACAGAAAGCCATAGAACAATTTCCAGATCTGTTTAGAAAATTTTTACAATTTTCATCTGCTGCTTTTAGTAAAGCACACTCAGATATATCTAAGTAACAATTAGCACCTTGGAGCCCTTTGCACGTAGTAGACATTATCCATGCGCTTTCTGTGTACTGATTCACGTGGTCGTATCAAGTAGGAACTGAGGAAAAGAATACTTAAGCAATTTGGTCAAAGTCACATACTGAGAAATTAGCAGAAGCAGAATTATATATTTTCTTTTCTCAGAAGATAGCTGAATGAATTTATTTGAAAAAAAAGGTACATAAGACCATGAGATGTGGAATTAGAATTATGCCTTTCCTCTGTTTCATCCACTGCAAGCCATGTGACCATGAATGGACATTTTACCTTCTATGAACCTCTTTTCTTCAATCTTTAAAAAGAGGAGTTAGACTAAATGATAGCTAAGCCGCCTACCACTTCTACTTCTTTACACTGGATTTGCTCCATGCTTGATTTCTAGATTACAGATTCTCTCCCTTTCCCAGCCATCTGGGAAAGACAAGGGCCAAAAGAGGACAGCCACTTACTTGTCACGACAAGAAATAGGAGAAACTACTGTGGGACACCATGTCACTTGCACAAGTTGCTGTTTCAGCCCGTGATGGGCTTAGGTGAGAAGTACGGTTATAATTAGAGCAGCTCTGGCCACTCCACTGGCCTCCCCAGCACAGCTGGACCTGCCCAGGGCACACTCAGGACTCTGACTCTGCTCTGGCCTTGAATGATCCTTCTTCAGCAGGTTTTTCTTCTTGCTTCTGGGAAAGAAAGCCCATTGGTCTAAAACCCCACTTCCCATCCAGTTTCTTTGCTAAATGTCCCTGCAGGAGAGAGCGAGTGTTGACACTTACAGGGGAAGGGAAAAGTCGTAAGCTGAGCCTGGTCACATTGCCCCTTGTGATATAGTTTTATTTTTAACTTGGAAACACTTGAACTATTTCTGTTGAAGTTTTCTCCCCTTTCCCTTCCTTCCACACACAGCTCTGGGCTCTGCTGCATCCGATGCCCCTCAGCCCCTTCCTGTGAGCTGCTCACTCATCCTCAAGGGACCAGGTTGCGGCAGATGCTGACTCAGCCTGTGCCTTAAGGTAAGCTTCCTACATGTGGAGCTGGAGCAGCGCAGGGATGTTTGCACAAAGAGCAGGCAGACCAGGGCTTGCGTGTGCTGTGCACCACCTTTGTGCCCCAAGAAAAGGGGGTTGTTCAGCAAATTCTTCTAAGTTGGGGTGGGAGAGTGGCTGGTGCTGAGAACAAGACTGCCATTTCAAGTGTAAAGTCAGGGCAGCTCAGAATGTAGACTGCCTTCTGAGAGCTCTGCTGCTTCCCTGCAGTTCCTGCTACCACAGCAGTAAGATCTTTAAAATTACCCAGTGGTAGGGTGGGAGCGGGTAGGTGGGCAGAGGGAGCAGATGGTGAAGACATAGGTTGAAAACACCAGAATTCCTGTTTTCTAGAGTTGAAATTTTGTACTCTTTTCTCTGATCAACATTTACTGTGCTAACTGCAAGTCATTCTCAGATGGATTAAATTCCATCTATCCTGTCACACTGCTGGCTAATGCAACACAATTGTGTCTACTGCATGTACTGTTCAAACCTGCCTGCAGTTTAAATCCTGTTTTTCCTCTAACAGTATTTCATAAATGTGGCTGTCTCCCTCCTGGTACTCTTAAATCTAAAAGGGATCCATCAAATATAAGTGAAAAAAAAAAAAGGATTTTGTTAATTGAAAACCTTCTATAGACTTTTTTTTCTTTTTTCTTTTACGTTATTAGTACATAATGTATAATGATTACATTTACTGTAGGGTACATTTGCATAACACATTTAAATTCCCTTTCTCACATCCTTTTATTTTTCCAGTCAAATTTTTCCATCAGATTCACTTTTTTTTTTCTGTTAGTTTATAACACTTTATAATCTCACATATGACATTACATGGTTATGGGATATTAAACTTGTCAAACTTAGGCCAATGGCACAGGTAAGAGAATTGCTGCAATTTCACCATTACATTAATGATGTTCTACATTAATCCCTACCTCTTAATTACCTTGTAGCATTTCACACTTTACGTGTGATTTATGTGTATCTGCTAGTTTGTCATTGGTTACCATGTCTTTTTTTTTCCCTGTAATTTTATTGATAAACAAATAGCAATGAGACAGTTTCAAATTAAATTGGTAGGACAGTTTCAATAATTAACCCACTGCATGCATTCTTCCTACTTCTACAGACTTATGCCTCCAAGCCAAATATTGTTTCCAGCTTGCACATCCAGGGGGACAAAAGCGAAATGAGTTTTATGCTATCTGAGACACTGAAAGCTATAAAATGTAGAGTGTTTCTAGCTTGTGAAATAACTGTACAGTGTTGTATGCACAAAAAATTGGTAGTGGTAGTGAGAACTGTTCATTTTCCTGTGTTTCTCTGGTTCAGAGTTCAGCTGAGGATATCTAGAGAAGGGATTCTGCATCTCTGAGCTTTGAGTGCTGAGGCGAAAGCCACCAATGCCAAGTAAAAGACCTACAGCCATGACTCAGACACCTCCCTTTTGGTTCTTTCTTGCTGGCCTCTGGAACCTCCAGACATACGCCACAACACTGCCAGAGGTGGCAGGGTTATAATCATGCCCATTTTCTAGGCACATGCAAATTCACTCTGTATAATTGCCTGACTCTATTAATTTTGCCAACGTCACCATGGCACCACGACTCTGAAATGCGTGCTGGGTGCCACGCTGGGTACTGGCTTAGGCCAACTCACAGCTGCCCCTAAGTAATCCAGCTAATGAAGCACTTCCTTGGCCAATGCCACAGTGACTTAAAATGCTGATACCACTATAGCACCAGAGAGAATTAACTAGCTAAATAAACAACTTTAACTTTAATCTTTTTAAAAAAAGTTTAAAGATAGAATTCCAGCGCAGGTGGAGAATGGCAGGTTGTGGTGTTGAATAGATCTCAAGGAGACAGTTATGTTTTTAGGGCCTGGTAAAGTTACTGGAAGCTTGATATCTTGCAACCCAATATGGCAATTATCCTTTGCCAAGTGGTTCTACAAAAATCTGATAATAAAAAAATCTGCATTAATTCCATTAAAATGTATTACTTTAATGCTTAACTTTGCATCTTTTCTTTCTCTAGAATTGACTAACTCCATACAGGGAAACATGTTAACACTGTAAATATTAATTATGTGATAGTTATGTGTAATAATATAATTAATTAATACAAAACTATACTAACTAATCAACTAGTTGAAAAAGAAATTTAAAAGAATCAATTAACTCTGGTTAGTAGTTCAGGAACATCTTTGACCTTTAACTTCTAACCTTGTCCCCTTCACTGAAGTTGAAGCTCAGAAATAAATCGCTATAGTGAGGGCCAGACACATGAGGAGGCCGAATAGGCAGTCACTGACATCATGTGAGGGGTGCCGAAAGGGCCCTTTGCCTAAAAATATCTGCCTGACATCAACCCTGTGTGCCACTAACTTTAAAATTATAGTAAAGAATGTTAAAACTATTATCTGTTAATCCCATTCTCTTTGGCTTGAGTCAGTGACTTAAATACACCTGGTATCTATGTTATCATGACCTTGTTGACCTGTGAAGCTGGTCACCACCTTCTCATTCTCTCAGACTATGTCCAACTCTGCCCTTGGTGCGATCTATCCTGCCAGCACACTCTTGGCCACCACCATGCAGGTAGCGCTGTGTGGGGCTGTGGTTTCTACAGATGCGATAAAACACCACAGTGTCATAGGGGGAAAACCAGGAGGATTTCTAGCTGTCTGCCTGCTCTAGAATGCTGACAGTAGCCTGCAAGTGTTTCAGAGATCAAGGTTTTATTGTCACCACCTAACACAGGGCCTTTTAGTTATAAAGGAAATTACAACAGTATCAATCAGCACACATTAATAGATGAAGCTGTGACAGGAAAGTAAGAGAAATAGGAGAAGGACTTTAGCTTGCAGAATAGAGAGGGCAGCATTCCGGCAAAGACCAGTCTGGGCCCAATAACAAGAAAAAAGCACCAGTTTTAAAAGGTACAGTACCAGGGCTGGAGAGATGGCTCAGTGGTCTAAAGCACCTACTTGAAACAAGCTTGGCAAAGCACAGGGACCACGGTATGATCCCCAGCACCACATGTCAGCCAGCCCCGCCCCCTGGTGGGCTGAGCTGGCCACACACACACACACACACACACACACATAAATAAATAAATTTTAAAAAAAATAAACAGTGCTGAGGCCTGTTGACCATTATTTTAGTTTTGGTTTTATAGTTTTGCAAAAATTGTTATGCATTGAGGCACAGTTTTTTGTTGTTTTAATTTTATTTTTTGAGGAAAAGGGTTTAAATAAATTAAATAGCTCACAATTTGGAGAAGTTTCAGTCCATAGTTGGCAGTACTCCCCATGCTCAGAAAAATTTGTCTAATAATCAACTATAGAAATGATCCCTGAAGGTAGAGCCTTTTGAGGGGCAGTTCATCTCCCATAAAATGAGTGCTTTTGCTGTTGGGAGGGTTTGGTTCCTCATATTGTGGGATAATTTCTCCCACTTTGTGAGGTGACCTCATCATGCAATAGTCTTTTTTTCTGTTTTCTTTTTTCTTTTCTTTTTTTTTCTCAAGACAGGGTCTTGCTATGTAGTTCAACTGGCCTTGAATTTAGGACAATTCCCCTGCCTCAGCCTCCTGAGTACTGGGATTACAGGTGATTAAATACATTGCTTGTGTTAAGAAAGAAGCCGCCCTAAAACAAAAACAAAAACAAAAAAGCTGCCTTCAGATAGTCTATGTGAAGTCTGAAAAGTCCAAGTGCCCCAGGCCCCAGCACACTATCTGAATTCCTCAGTGCTTTAGGAATGCTGTGTGGTGATTAAGGGAAACAAAGGGGGTTGAAATGAAGGGGTGAGAAGAAGGCGAGGAGATAGCTCAGAAGGCCAGGCAAGCGAGAGGGCCTGAGTGTGATCTCCCCGCACCACACCAGGAAAAAAAAAAGAAAGAAAAAGTGAGAAGAGTTGTCTTGCAAGGTAGGTATGAAGATTATTAACCTGGCAGTAGAATATAAGATCAATTGGCGTGACAGGAAACTGAAAATTGAAAGGTGGCCAGGCTACAGGAGCCACACAACGGGAAGCCATGGAGCCTGAAGGAGGTGACTAAGAACGACCTTCCACTAGAGGAAGGGACTTTTGTGTACTACATACTCCTTATTCCACTTACTTTATGCTCACACAAGCTTATGGGTTACTATGAGGCCTCCTCTATGGATGGGTACTTTACGTCTAGGGAGATTAATAACTTGTCCCAAAGTATTCAGGTAATTCACAAGTGTCATTGATTTACTTTCTAATGGGAGTGTCAGAGAAGCCTCTTGTGTAAGATGTAAGCTGACACTGAAATGGCAAGAAAAAGCTTATAGTGCACATAAGGAACAAAGGGAGAATTTTCCTGGCAGAGATACCAAGCTCACAGGTTCCTGGCTGGAGTAAGTGACCAGGCAAAGGGAGATGCACAAGGACTAGTGCAAGATAAAGGGGACAAACGGGACAGCTCCTTTGGGACTTGTGGCTTATGATAAGGACTTCACAGTTTATTTCTTGGGGTAGGAATCTGTGGAGAGTTTAAGCAGGGGAATAAAGACCTAATTTTATAAATAGGTACAGGCAGTCTTTGCTTGTAAAGATGGGTCATGGGTGTAAACTGGGGGAAGCAAGTCTGATTATAAAGCCATTATGCCACTCCAGATAAGAGAGCATGGCGTGTGCACGTAGGCAGCGATGGCAGAGCTGGTGAAGATGGGACACTGCGTGCTGCCCGTCCTGGTCACTTGTCAAGCCCTTCCCACCTAACTGGCAAGGATTTCTTTGTGCCTGGGGAACACAATACCAAACTGCTTGTAACTCAGTGGTTACCAAACGTGATCTTCCACAGAGTCCACTGGATTCAGTAGACCTGCGTCTCAGCCTGTCATGAGGCCTCAGACCAACTTCTCTACAGTTCACAAGTTTTGCTGACACTGTTGGTCTGGAGTCCATGCTTTAAGAACCACTCTTCGGCGGCCTTCCCCTTGCTTGT